TTTCTCCCTCTCTAGTTTGTAGTTGGGTTTTGGCATGTTATAAGTTCTATTGAATTACAGGATCACTGTTGCTAATATGGGCCTTCATCTAAAGGCTACTGTTGATATTACAGTCTTCAGTTGACTTCAATGGATTTTTTAGTTGGACCCATAATTAGTACTGGTCTGTCTGGCAAGGAAATGTTTGTAAAATAGGGTACTTCTAAATCAGTTTTTAATGTATTGATCTTGGAGTGACACGGATAGGTACCATTAGCCAAATGATGGAGTAGCACTTGTCCAGTGGTAGGCTCTTCTGATAGGAAACCACTGCTCTGGTGTACACCTAAAGAGGAATAAATTTTAGTACCATTTGACTTTTTTGATTACTGAATTTTCCAGCAGTAGAAATATTAAAAGCCCTTGAAGGTGTTTTCAGGTCAGATTGTAAGTGAAATCCTATCTCTAAAATTCTGTGAGAATTTTGTCAGTAATGTCAAGACAAGGATTTTGGCCAAAGAGTGTCTGTGTAATGTTCAAGATGGAACTGAAAATTGAGTTGTATCTTTCTTGCACCTTGCTTGCTTGCTTATTTATTACTTTTGGAACTTAACACAATTTAGCTTTGTTTTTTTTAATGTCCTAATATGAAAATATTACACTAAACCCTGGATTTAATTCCAGTTAAGATGTTTTTTCTCTAGATTGATAGATGTTAGGGTCGGAAAGGACCTCAATAGATCATCGAGTCCGACCCCCTGCGTAGGCAGGAAAGAGGGCTGGGTCTAGATGACCCCAGCTAGATGCATATCCAACCTCCTCTTGAAGACCCCCAGGGTAGGGGAGAGCACCACCTCCCTTGGGAGCCCGTTCCAGACCTTGGCCATTCTAACTGTGAAGAAGTTCTTCCTAATGTCCAGTCTAATTCCTAATGTCCAGTCTAATAGCCAAGTCAGCTTCAAGGTTCCACGCAACATGTTCTGTCTTTGACCTTCATACAGTCCCTCGAGGGGCACATCCCTTAGTGCTAGACTGGGCTGAGTTACTTTACTGTCCAAAGATGAGGGTTTGGCTGCTCACCTGTGTTTCTTGATATGTGGCTTCACCAGTGGGTCCAAGGGACCTTGAATCTTGCTGACTGTGTTTTAGAGGGGTGTTCTGAGACGCAGCGGAAAGTGCTCTACAAAGAATTCTATGACAGCATTTCATCCAATGGTTTTGAAGTGGTAACAAGGGGTTGGTTTCCATATTTAATTATCTGGCTTAGATGATGCTTTTTTTCAGACCTGCAGAGGATTTCTTCTCTGTATGCTGCTAAACTCTGCTCTGCTGCTGATCTAGCTAGATTTCTTTTAACTAATTTATAATTTTATCCATATATATATATATATATATTTATTTTTTTTAGTTTTTTTTAAAAAGGATTTTTATAAAGAGTCCTCTTGTTGTTTATGCCTAGATGATGGAACATCTGGATTATACTGCAAATGAAGAAAATGCTGGAACAACCAATGAACAGTCTGGAGGACAATAATGCAAAGGATCATCATCTGAAGTAGCATTGTTCAAATTTTCTGCAACTGAAGTACAAAAAAAAAAATTGACTGATTTAATTTTTACACTAGAGTATTTCATATCCTGGACAAAGAGAGTTGCCTTTTTTACACTAGCACCTCTATTTTTATGGAAAGATGTTTAAGTGCATTATATCAAAGTGATTGAAATAATAGATTTGCATTTTTAATAGCCAAAATATATTTAGTAAAATTGTGCCTTATTTCACTTTAAATAAATGGATATTGTCTATGCAATTTTCCAAACACATGTTGTACACAATGTATTTTTATACCAATATATCTTGCCTGTAGCCCATGGGCATAAACTGACTTTCTGATTGCTATTTGCTTAAAAATCGGTTGGGTTGTTTTACTAGGAAGTCCTGCAGAGGATGCTACTCTCAAGCTTTTGAATGCAGAGATAACATATGAGACAAAAAGTAACAGTGCAACTGTCTAAATATCTTAGGTCTTTATATTAAAAAGTAGAATTCGGCAGAAATGCTAACACTTTACACCAAAGAGACTTGGAGAAGCCAATAACTGTGAACCACTGAAGGTTTACCCTTTCTAATTCCATGTAACAATTTTAATACAACTTTTCTTGTATTCAAATTCATATAAAAGGTGCCAGGTAGAGAACCTTGGTGGCTGATATTCACCACTGACAGAGAATGAGCAATGGCAATGCAGATTTTCCTATTATATCTCACTAAAGTGCCTCAGGACTGGTTTTGCCAGAGTAGATTCTAGAGGTGAGTGGGTGATTTAGGGTCTCTTAAAACAGGAGCACTCTAGAAAATTAATCCAGATTAAATTGGATTTGTCATCATTGATTGTTTTAAACAAATTGAGCTAATACCCCTTTCATTCTGATCCCCACACAGAGGTTTCTTGCCTTTTAAAAAAAAGAATTAATTAAAGATTAATTTGGATGAATTTTTCTAGATGTTTCGGTATATGTAAGCCCTTAGTATCTATGAGTGTGTCAATTGTTGACCACTCTAGAGACCGTCAACAAGGGTTCTGCTTGGCTGCAGCTGCTAAAGGCCACAAGCCAGCTTTGTGATTATTGACCTGCACCAGACTTGAACTGGCAGCCTCAAGGTAAAAGGCTGTCCTATCCCATTACAAATTCTCTAAGCCATCCAAACCCTCTTTCAATATTTTTTGAGTTTATTCATTCAGTTTTGGCATCAGAAATACCTCAGTGTTTAATAGCAGATTGCAAAGGGGTTTTTTTTCTTTGCAGGAAAATTATGTTAACATTAATTTCCTTTAAATTATTATTTTTTTCCTTTTTAGGGCAAAGTGCTAAGTGGCTGTTACGAAATGTTGTGCTTTCTGACAAGCCCAGCCTCAGACAAAAAACATGTGGTTCTGAGAGACAAGTTTCTGAAAATAACTCTTAAGAAGTTAAGGGCTCATAACAGTAGCTCAGCATCATGCTGTATTTTCAAACATTTAAAGACTTTATAAGCCTGTATAAAATGAACCCATCTTTCCCTCTGAAAGAACGTTTAGATTAATTGTAAGCTTAGTTGGTAACCAAACTAGTGTGTTAGTTTGGCAACGTGTTTAACTGCGCATTCAGCAGCCTGCTGTGAGAATTCTGTATTGCTTCATGCCTAATTACTGTTCTGTGTGGTTTCTCACACATGCTGCAGTTTGACAGGATGTAAACTAACAACTTTTTTCTTTTAGGGCTTAGGTTCTTGGTTTGCTAAAATCAAGGATGAGGATAAAATTTGATAGGCTAGTGTCAACTACTGAAATATATTTTATAAATAGTTCAATAGGACTGATATTTGAAACTTTTTTTTAGAAGTTTTGGGTGTTTAATACTGTATTAAATTCAGATGGGCTTTTCATTATACTAAGAGCCTTAATTGCAATATGTAACATAAGACTTAACTCTTTTGATTATATGGATACTGACAACTGCTTCCTCCCTCACCATTTAAATTATCACTTTTCAAGAATGTTGTTAATAAATCTTTTAAAGCAGTATTTGGAATATTTGATTTGTTCTATATGTGTCTCTAAAAGCTGACATTTACACTAATGACAGACAGTAACATTTTCAAAAGTGGTATATGACTTGGGAGCTGATGTCCCATAGACATAAGGTTCTGTATCAGTTAAGCAGTGATCACTTAGGCATGCTTTATCAATCAAGTCCAAAGTGCCTTGCAACATAATTCTGGTCTGAAAAAGAACTTAAAAAAAAATCAATAAATCAAACAGCTATTTATTCATCAGATCAGCTATCTGTGAGTTCATAGTCCTGTTTGTGTACTCTAGTGGCAATATCGATAATCTGTCTCAGCAAACATTTGCTGTGTTGCTCTTCATACTGAATCATGCCATGACCACTTGTTACAAGAATTGTTACAATTAGTAGCACCAACCAGATCAAGCACTGTTTTATTTCTTCTTTTTCTCCAGAAGTCTGCAGCAGAAAAACATCTGCACTGTTACCCATCAAACTAATAATTTACTAAATTCTTACATGGGCAGCCTTTTGAAGGTAATGGGTCACATATGTCATTTGCAAAATTGTGGCCTTCAAATGTATGGTTCTTAAGAATATTGCTAAAGCGATTCAGAGATGAGAATCTAGCTTTGCCCTGGGGCCCTTTGGGTTAGAAATACTGAAAGAAAAAAAATACACATTTAGAAATGGAGGCTATTTGAGATGTCGTTTGTGATGTAATACATATAAAATAATATGATAATGCTCTGAGTTACAATTCAGAACTGAGCATCATTTTTAGCTGCTTTTTCTTTGATGCATTGATATTTCTGAGCCATGGAAGTTGATGGAAGTAAGTGCTCTGATACTTGAATTGGAGGGATTTTTTTTTTAAATCTTAATCTTTTAAAGTTTATATTAAAGTCTCTTAATACATTACAATGTTTCATGTACTGCTTTTGCAATTGGAATCTGTACTGTGTATATCAGGCCCCATCTACTCGTTACACTTAACTAGTTAATCATGCCTTAACCAGTTAATCACTCCTTAAGTGGCCACATATTCAATCAGTTGATGGCATGATAAAAAGAGGAATACATTACAAAGGTGTTCCACAAAAGATATGTAATAACTTTGTAGCTGCTTCCTATCTTGCAATTAATTGATTGAATATGTGGCCTGGTGGCACACGTGGCATGGCAGGAGGTGTGATTGTGTGGATCATGCATTACATCCCATCACTCTTACCTGCACATGCAAAGGGGACCTTAGACTAGAAGCAGTACTGTTTTATATGCCTGTGTCTTTTTTGGATAACTCCGTCTTGACTTTGCATAATCTTCCATTAGCCCTGGGGATTGCATGTGAAATCTCCATGCAATTTTAACTGATATGAAGTAGGTATGAAGAGGTTGCTTGGGACTGATTCATTGTGGTATCCAGAGTAGCTACCCTGAAAAAACTTCATGGATATTAAATCCAGAATAACAATAAATTCATACTCACCTTATTCTGAAGTAATTTCCATGTGCAGATAAACCCTTATCCCCAGCTCTGTTACTTTTAAAAATGTAAACCTTAGCTATGCTGGAATGACTCAAAAGCATCAAATGGAGAAACACATTATTGCTCTAGATGACCTTGCTATTGCTGCGATCAAGGCTTTATACAACTACTGAGAGACTGTACTTTGTACAGTTTGCAAGCCTTGACTCAGAGCATTATTATATCCAATAACTGTGGAAATAAGTCAAATGAGAATCAGAATGATTAACAATATTTCATACTCCAAAGGTAACTCTGTTGTATTTATGTAATTTTGCTTCATCCATAAATTTCTACAAAACCAAATCTCTTTTGCTTGGGCTCTATCTCATGTATTATGAGTAGGGCTGATTAACTAGAGCTGGGTCTGAAAAGCCCACCCATGGCAAGGCTACCAAACTGTGGGGTATGATTTTTCAATTATATTTTTGTCATCTACCTGAATATGTTGCATCATGATGAAGAATTATAATATTATAAAAGCCTTTGTCTGTCTGTCTGTCTGTCTGTCTAATGCTTTATTTGCACTCTGACTGGTTGTCTGAAATAACCAATAGGACTGTTCCAAGAGCATTCCAGACAAGAGGCAGTGGCGGCACAGCAGAGTGCCGCCATGATGGCGGTGACAAAGTAGATGGAGCAGAAGGGCAAAGCCAATGCAGCTGGCCTTGCCTCCCCCCCCCCCCCCCCCCTCCCCCCCCGCCGCCCCCCCCCCAGTCCTGCTCCCTAGAGGCAGTGACAACAGAGCAGATGGAGCAGGGGGGCAAGGCCAGCACTGCTGGCCTCACTTCCCCTCTCCCCTGGCCCTGCTCTTTGGAGGCAGCAGCAGCATGGGGTGCTGGCCAAGGGGGACGGAGGGGATGGTGGGGTAACCTTACCCCCCCACTCCTGGGAGGTGGCAGCATGGGGTGCTGGCGGCGTAGTGCTGGCGTCACCCCCCCACCCCCCTGCTCTGGTTTCACCACTGCTGCCACTGGGCCCCGACAAAAGCTGGCAAGCAGGGGGAGGCAGCAGGGAGGAGGTGGGAAGGGAAGTGGGGAGTTAGGGCACAGTGACTGCACCCCGACACCACTGCCAGGCCCTGAGAATAGCCGGTAGGTAGGAAGGGGAGCTGGGGAGGGGGAGGAGGTTGGCTAGACATGCAGCAGCGGCAGTGCAGGCCACTGGGTGATGGCTGTGGCCACTGTATGCAAGCTTCCCACCCTCCCCCACATCTGGGAGGTGGCAGCGCCACGGGGTGGAGCAGCAGGGGGTGAGGGGGTATATGGGAGTGGAGGCAGAGCGGCAGCAGTGCGGGCCAGTGGGTGGCAGTGCTCTGTCCCCCCTGCCTCTTTCCCCCCCCCCCCCCCCCCCCATCATTCTTGATGGGCAATTGGCTTGTATAAGATAAAAATTCAAATAATTTCTCAGTGAGCCTTTTGCACTCTTATTAATTCATTTGAAATATAAAAGCATACAATCTTACAAAAAAAATGTTTGGGCAAATGAGACTCAGTCTGAAATCATTAAGATGAAATTAAAATTTAGCATGGTATAGAATGAGTGCTTAGAACAGTAAAGGATGCATGGGGGGTTCTTAGAAGGGAAACAAACCCCCATGAATTGCACACCACTGGTTATGACATATCATCCCTCCCTTGAACATGTACAGAAAATCCTCAAACAAGTGTAACGCATACTAGAAGACCCAATTCTTAAAGATATCTTCCCAGAACCATCCATCCTAGCCTTCAAACAAGCATTGAACCTTGCTAACCTCATCACCAGAAGCAAACTTCCTACAGCTCAAAATGCACTGAATGGATTCAGACCATGCTATGATAAGACATGTAAAACCTGCCAACATCGCTCCACCATCCCTATGCTATACCCAACAACAGAGCCATTCGCATTCCTGGATCTCACCTTCAGTAATGTAATACATCTGATCCAATGCAGCAAATGCCCTGATGGAAAATACGTAGGAGAGACCAAACAACAACTGCGCACCAGAATGAATGCGCACCGGAAATCTATCGAAGACAAGAATACCCACTCACCTGTGAGGATGTATTTCTCACAAGAAAACCGCTCTCTCTCCAATCTCTCAGTTCTAATTCTCAAAGGGAATTTACAAAACACCTTTCACAGATGAGCCTATGAACTTCACTTTCTCAATCTACTGGATACAAAAAATCATGAACTAAATATAGACACCAGATTTATGACACATTATAACCTGCCTAACAGCTGACTCCCCAGGTACTTCTCCACTATTTACCACCTACATTTCTTTACCTTCCCCTTCTGTCCCTGAGCCTGTCTCTCACTCACTGACTCCTCAGTTTACATCTTCACTGAGTGGCTTTCTTGCGTGCATACCAGCCTCTGGCTTCTTTACTATTCATTCTGTCTAGGAAGAGCACACGCCAGCTGCAGATGCTTCCCCAGCCTGAGGAAGGGTATTTAGTTGATATAATAAAAGATATCAAATTTACCCAAAGAACCTTGTCTGCCTTCTTAAAATAGTGTTTCTCAATCTTGTTAGACTCAAGCCACCCCTTGGAAAATGCCAGCTTAGTTTTTACTCATCTTTTGATTATGGAAAAGTAATAGAGCATTTTTTTTCTGTTGCAAAGACCCCAAGGACAACAACAGGTCAAAATGGTTTTGGCACTATGGATTTCTATTTGAAATGTCTGGGTTTATCTTGTGAATCGTGTGGTGTTTGCATACCTAATAATGCAAATATTGAGCAGCACACCATGGCACCATTAAAAGGGTCTTGCATCACCCAGGTGCCTGACACCCTTGTTAAGAATTACTGCCTTAGACTGTACAAGGGTGAAAACTGCATTTCAGGAAAGCAAGTTTTGGAGAATTATTTCCAACCCCCTCCTCCCCTGGCCAATTTTAAGTTGGATTTTAAAATGTGTCAGAATGAGAGGCAGTCATGGGGGCCAAAAGCACTAGACCTAAGGTCCCCCAGGTTATACTTCCTTTGGACAGAATATCCTAAAGAAAAAGGTTGCAATTAATTCAATGCTGGCCCAATTTCCAACCAAAGTAACTTATTAGTTTCCCACTCTTATGATTGGTAACTGGAATTCCTTCAACAAACGCTTAGCTACAAATCTCAAAGGCTTCTGCTGCCAAGCTGGAAGTGTAGAAGCTTTCTAGTCCAGGCAGTCAGCCACATCAGTTAATCAGCAGCTACAAGGTTTAGTGTATAAATTAGGTCGCTCTTCCTTTTGCTTTTTATCAACAACTGTATTTGGAACAGAACAAGAAAAAGATAGTTTCTAAAGAAGGGACCAAAGAAACTGCCCAACAATGACAGCAGGTCATGCTGAAAAGCTTGACAAGCATGCCCAGTCCTGCTGCATGTGAACCTGTTGCCCAGAGATGAGCACTGGGTTTAATGAGAGAGTTGTCTCTGCTCCTTTTCCAGTTCAAACAATCTCTGGAACTTCTTTCCACAAAGCAAATTCCAGAACAACTTATTTTGTA